GTGATTTAATTGCAGGCTTAAGGGAGGGTGGCCCACAGTCTTGTAAGTGGGAAGGGAGGTGTCTGTGAGTCAGTCTCTCTGTTAATGCATGCTGTCCATGCAGCAGGAGATCTTGAGAACATCTGCACTAGGAAATCTCATTCCTTCTCCCTTGGTAACAATTATCTCAGCCACCTCAACTGGCACTGTTATCCCATGTCCCAGTGATAGCCAGTTGGATCTGGTGTATCAACAGCTTTGACACACTGAGTCTGTGGGTGATGGTTTCCTTGTAGGCTGGGTGAGAACGGCAGAAGGTGGACACTGTCATGATAGAATATGATTCCTAGCAGGAAAGACCTCTGGATTTGCATTTTTTAATTTTAAAGACACTTGGATTCTGTGATAATGCTTCCTTTGGGCACAACCTACCTTGCACAGTCTGGTTTAACGCTGGCTGCGTGCTGCCAAAATGTCTGTGAGCAACCTGTGCTGAACTCAGTCTCCTATTTTTTTTCACCAAGTCATTTAAGGTCTGGTTGTCTTCTCACTGGGTTTCCTTCTAGCCTTAAGATCATGATTTGAGATAGTTTGAGTTTTCATTTGAAGGATAGTGCATTGGGTGCAGCTGGCAGTGTGGGGCTGCGGTGGAGCTGCCCCATGCCGGACACAGCTGGTTCCAGTGAGCTCTGCAATGGCCCCACCACAGGACACAGCTGAGCCCATCAGGAAAGGTGTTGGTTCCTCCTCAAAAACCTATTCAAGGAAGAGCAAAAGGCTCTGTAGGCAGTGAGGCGGAAAAAAAGTGTGAGGAAAAAAATCTGTGTGAGCACCCAGCTCAGAGCAGGAGGAGGAGGTGCTCCAGGTGCCGGAGTAGAGGTTACCCTGCAGCATGTGGAGAGACCATGGTGGGGCAGGTGGGTGTCCCCTGGATAGAATTGCAGCCTGCAGAGAGGAGCCTGCACTGGAGCAGGTTTTCCTGACAGGAACTGCAGCCCATGGAGAGGACCCATGCTGCAGCAAGGGAAGAGTGTGAGGAGGAAGGAGCAGCAGAGAGGAGCTGTTGTGGAACTGACCGCAATCCCCATTCCCCATCCCTCTGCATGGCTTGGGGAAGGAGGTAGAGGAGCCAGGAATGGAGGGTGAAGTTGAGCCTAGGAAATGAGTCAGGAATGGAGGGTGAAGTTGAGCCTAGGAAAAAGTGGTGGGATGAGGTGAGGGGAAGGCATTGTTTTAATTTATCTTTGTTTCTCTCTATATAAATTATTTTAATTGGCAATAAATTAAATTTTCCCCAAGTCAAGTGGGTTTTACCTATGACAGAGATCTATGATAAGTGACCTCCCTCTCTTTATCTTGACCCATGAGGTGTTTTGTCTTATTTTGTCCCCTTGTCCTGTTGAGTTAAGGATTGTGAGAGAGTGGCTGGGTGGGGTTTGGCAGGCATCTAGTGGGAGAAGCTCAAATGCCACGTGGTTGGTTGCCTCTCAGTCTTGAACTCCATGTCTCCATTTCACAGTCCCATGTCAGGGGTAAATGCAAGGGCAAATCACTTGTGCAGAACTATCTTGCACTCTGGATTGAGAAGGTCCTCTCAGTACAGTGGTGAGTGACTGTCCATCACCTACTCACTCAGTTAATGAATGAGAGCTGTTTGGGTGTTGATGTTTGTTTGTCCACACCAATTTGCAGGCACACTTCTACGTCTGTTTTCTTGCTAATTTGCCTTAGATCTTAGATCTTAGCTCATTTTGAAAGGCAGGTTTATCTGTGGGTAGGCTGTGAACAGTTCCCAGCTACGTCTACATAGTCCTTTCTGTATAAGACTTTACAGGGGGCTTTTTGCTAACAGGAAAAGAAATAGAAGAATCAGTGAAGGCAGATGAAGCTGGAGATGTCACTCCACTCTTCAGCTTGGTACGTGAAAGAAGATTGGAAATTGTACGTGTGATATTTTGACAGTGTCCTGGAGTTCTGGCGCTGGCTGATCTGAAATCACAGTGCTAAGGTCTTCTTCAGCTGAGCTTATGATCACACTTTAAATCCTGAGAAACAGTGCAGAGTTGTATGAAACAAACAAACAAATTACTGTTCCTCTGGCAACTGTCTGTCTATCTCTGAGAAAAATTTTTGAGACTTCATTAAGAAATTATTTACCCCAACACGTGGGTATTGTTTGCTGTCACACTTTCTTGTCTTTTTCCAGTAATAAATCATCTATTTAGAGATTTGTTCCTGTAGTTAAACAACTTGTAAGCATGGCCAGAATAGGCACTGCTGCTTTTGCTTGCACTTCATCTTCAAAATTCAACATGCTCCCTATCCTAAACCATCAGGAGAAGCACTTCTTGCTAATACACCTGGATTTGTGGCTGCAGCAATAATCAGCAACCGCTCATTATCACAGTCTGGTGGGGCAGCACTGTGGTGTCAGGCAAGTTACAGTCTGGTTACCTGTGCACATATTAAATACTGATGGCAGTGCAAAGGAACCTGTCTGACTGCACTGAAACAAGCGTCTCCCTTTTAATCCAGTCAGAGCTCCTGCTCTGAAAAGTCTGGTTCTCTGAGACAATTGGAGTGGGGGATGGAAGCAGAGCTAGCTGGAGCAGATCTCTGGTGAGAAAGGGTCTGTCTCTTCTCTAGGTGGATTGTGTTTGAATGCTTTAGTTGTGCTGAAGTAGAACAGCCACTTGTACCAGTCAGGCTTATTTAGGAGAGGGAAAGGTTATTGTTTTATATAGGAAGTTATCCTACTAGGCAACACAAACTGCCATCAACCTGGGGCTTCTTTGGGCTCCATTTAAGAAACAAAGCTTGAATAAACAAGCAAAGTAAAGCTTCTTTTGTATGCCTAGTGTCTTTTTGGCTTAGGATCCAGTTGTTGCTGCTGCTAGGTAGGTTGAGCTCTTCTGAGATCACATCAGTGGATGGATGCAAATACAGATGCAGTAACATTATCCTTAGGACAGAGCACAAGAGAAAAGGAAGAAGGGCTGATAGCCTTCAAAATGACACATTAAACTCCCCAGCAGCTGGTTCCTGCTATGTAAGTTTTGCCAGTGAAAACCTTTTGAAGTCAGAGGTGTTTGGATCTCTGCGCTGGGTCTGGAGACAGGCAGCTTGTCTGCTCTGAGGGAAAGGCAGGCACCAGCATCTAGTAAGCTTAATGATAAGAACCTGTTTGCTCGTTTTATGAGTAGAAAGTTTATGGGATGGTCAGAGCTAGCAGGGAGCTAGGCAAATCAGAGGCATCCATCAGAGGCAAATGTTTGTTAGCCTCTGTAGCAGTAAAGGAGAGACTGACTTTCTTCACTGTGAGGGTGGTCAGACACTGGAACAGGTTGCCCAAGGAAGTTGTGGATGCTCCTCCCTGGAAGTGTTGAAGGCCAGGCTGGATGAGGCTTTGAGCAACCTGGTCTAGTGGAAGGTGTCCCTGCTGCTGGAAGGGGGGTTGGAACTGGATGAGCTTTAAGGTCCCTTCCAACCCAAACCATTCTATGATTCTATGACTTGATGAGCATGATGCCCCATCAACCCTCTCAGCTGAATGTCCAGGTTTTCATTTACACATAGGTCAACTTTCAGAGCCCTTCCCTGCAAGTGTCAAGTTTATCCCTCCAGGTCTGTAGTGAAAGGCCTTTGCTACTCTCCCAACATACCACGGAGCAAAGCAAATAGTACCAGCACTTGTGTGCCTTTGTGTTCCAGCCGCAGGGAAGATAAATGGCTTATTGTGCTCATACTGAAGGTCAGTGGGTCAAATACTGAGTAGAGTCTGTCTTACAATCTGTGCCTAAATTATAGGAAACAGTTAGGTGTGTGCTTAAATCCAACCCCAGACACTAAAGAGCTTAAGAACACTCTTACACTGGGCACATTCCTGAGTATTTGCACAAATAGGAAAAATACCAAGTGTTGAAAAACTTCATATCCAAAATGTGTTCATGTCTTGGGTTTGTTGTAGGAAGTTAGCTGAGCCTGTGGCATATGTCTAGCCAAATGAGATGTAAGGAATACAGCTTACCTGGGGCCAAATCCTGCCTACTATTAGTCGAGTCTTTCTTCAGTGGTCTTGATTTTGAGAAGGGAATACAATATTCATCCAAAGGTTATTATGCAGTATTTTACACCTTTTTAAAATAAACTCCTCCCTCACCTTTTTTGTTATAGTCTAGTTAAAGCATTTGCACCCAGAGGAATGAGTGGAATAAAATCCTGGCATCAATTAAGATCTTATGTTCTAACCTGTAAAAATGAGGTGAAGTATCTGAGCTGGAATGCAAAATCTGGAGAAAGTAGTAAGGTAGTTTCCGGTGCTATTTTTGTATTTCCTGAGGCTTGTGTCATTATGTGCTGCCTTATTACTATTCTCTTATATAAGATATGAAAATAACAGAGGGAAATTGCTTTTCCATTCTATTTCCTGAAGTCTAAAACACACCATTATTTTATTTTGCATTCAGTTATCTCTGATATTTAAATGCTGAAGATCCATATTAGTTGGATGCTTCATAACGTAAATCCATGTTCCTGAGACTTCAGTTTATGTTTGTAGAATTCCTTTGGAATATTTCTTTCCTTTGTTGCTCTTTTGTTGTTTCTCTTGTTTATTCCATTTAAAAGTATTTTTCTCTCTGCAACAAGCTTATATATTTTTTGGTTTTGGTTCGGTTTTTTTCAGTGTTTTTTGTCCCTGAGTGCTACATCTTGCTCAGATTAGTCTGTGACAGATTGGTCAGGTGTTGAAGCCCAATGGGGTATGGCTGGAGCAAACCTACTCTGGTTTTGCAAGCATTTTAGCTACGGTGTAGTATGTGTGACTGTTAGAGTGGTAACACAGTAACTCTTAAAAAGTCTTTATTTTATTGAGTGTAATAGCACAACCCCTTTGGGTTTGTTTTGGGTCAATTTTTTTGAAGGATAGATGTCTAACTTCAGTCACAATTAGTTCCTTCAACTATTACTAGCTCTTGTGTGGTTTCTGATAAACTGTGGATGTTTTCTGTGTATTTTGACAGGTGTACAACATGTTTCAACATCAAAGCCTTGGCATTAAAGTCAGCATTCGAGTGACCAAACTAGTCCTGCTTCGAAACCGGCCTGTGAGTTCTAACACATTTTTACCCTGCTGCTCCAATTGTGCTGTGGGAGTCTCACAGGCAGAGCAGGATCCCTGTGCTGGGGTTGGAGGGGGGGAGAAGCGGGGCATGTCTGGCCACATGGTGACAAATTGTAAGTCATGTCACACTTCAGCAGGCACTATTAAAGGTGGGAAGAACAGGGGGCTGTGGGAGTGAAAGGAGCTACAGTCCTTTTATTTATCCTTCCTGCTAAATCTTTGCCTGCTTATAGTTGCAAACCAGTCTCAGGAGTTAACTGTTAAAAAGCTTGAAAATTATATGGCTCTGGTATCAAATATATAACTTCCAGACTTATGAGACTTTTCAGTGTAGTGCTATATTAGAAGCTTATGACTGCTGCCAGCTGATGGAGTTTGTTCTGTAAATCAAAAGAGAAGTCAGTGTGGATTCCAAAGTCTCTAGTTCACCTGCTCAGATGAAGCTGGTTTTGCACTTTTCTTTCTATCACGTTTATATCTTTGAGCCTCTGACTTTTCAGCATTTTTTTTGCTTTATGCAAAGACTGTGACTGATATTTTTATTTTCTGTATCTCTCTTTTTTTTTTCTTTTCCCCAAAAAGGCAAAGTTGTCTATTGGACATCATGGAGAGAGGTCTCTGGAGAGCTTTTGTCAGTGGCAAAATGAAGAATATGGTGGGGCAAAATACCTTGGTAACAACCAGGTTCCTGGTGCGAGGGATGACACCCCTCCTGTGGATGCTGCTGTTTTTGTAACCAGGTATAGTAAGGTCTGGTTTATCAGTTCACTTCAACCAATAATGGCCCACAGTCAACGATGGGGTTATCCTGTCTAGCAGTAATCTAAGAAAAAGATCTCTGCTGATGATACATTTGCTACCTACATGCTGCTCACATGCCTCTTATGAAAGTGATTTGTCTTCTAAGGGCAGTTAATGACAAAACAAGGGGAAATGGGTTTAAACTGAAAGAGGGGAGGTTTAGATTAGATATTAGGAAGAAGTTCTTCACTGTGAGGGTGGTCAGACACTGGAACAGGTTGCCTAAGAAGTTGTAGATGCCCCCTCCCTGGAAGTGTTCAAGGCCAGGCTGGATGAGGCTTTGAGCAACCTGGTCTAGTGGAAGGTGTCCCTGCTGATGGCAGGGGGGTTGGAATTGGATGATCTTTAAGGTCCCTTCCAATCCAAACCATTCTATGATTCTATGATTCTTTCTGTGTATACTTAACAAGGTCATGCAAAAACATCTCTCCTCTTGAACCAGAGCGCTCTCATAGTCATGGTCACTATAGCATGTTGTAATCAGGAAACAGGTAAGGCATGGCTGTAGCCCAGCTGATACTTTTTTCTCACACCAGCTGGTTAAGTGTAAAAAAAAAAAATAAAATAGGTGAGGTTTTGGAGCATATGCCCTTCTTCCTAGAAGAAAGAAGCTATAGAATTGAGACTGCAGCTGAGAACAAGTGCTGTGTGTGTAATTAGGTATGAAGCAACTGAACAGTCTGAGAGGAACAGACAGTGTGTCAGTAATGGGGAGGTGGTGAGGAAGTTATCACCTAAAAAAAGTCAGAGATGAATACCGTAAACTAAATTAATTTTCTCTCTCTTTGCCCTAGGAAATAACCACTTTAACACCTCTCCTCTATCACAACTGAGACAGAGGAAGGGTGTCATTCTTAATTTGTTTGTACGTTTGAAAACTGCTGCATTTATTTCAGGCGTGAAATCATCTGTGTATGAACACTTGAGCAAAATTCCTTGCAGCTCACAGCTCTGTGCCTATTGATGTATCGAACACATCAGGGTATGGCCCAGATAAAGTAAGCAAAAAGGGTCGTGTCCCTAATAACCTGTCATCTTTTTTCCTTCAACTTCACTACCTGAGCTCAAACTCACAATACAATGCAAGTCCCATGTTCCTCATAGTTACCATAAACTTTGAGTTGCCAGCCTTTTAAGTTGATGGCATACTTTAACATGTAAATGAAGAATGAATTGTTAATTAAAGTGGGCACTAAAATATAGTCTAAGATGGATGCTGTATGTGCTAGGAAAACACTTATTTCCTACCCCCTTCTCCCATTGTGAGACAGGAAATGTCTGTATTGCAGTTCCATATTACTCACCTCTTTCACCTTTTTTTCTCTGCCAACAATATAAGTAGAAATACATGTTTTTGCATAAACTGCCATTCTGATTGTTAATAATCTATTGTGTTCGTAGTCACATTGCAGACTATCCATGGGATTTTGGTGAGTGTTCAGTAAAACAGCTGGTGAGCAGGGCATGGGGCCAGCAAAGTTCCTAAGAATGCACCTTCACAGACATGTGTGCAGTTCCCCTAAATCCTTCTCTCTCCTCTGTATTCAGCGTAGTCCAACCAAGCACTTAGGCAGATACTTAACATTTTAGACAGGGTGAATAGTTCCTTTGAAGTCAATGGGCTGCACATCCTGATTATAGTTAAGCATGTGCTTCATTGGATCAGGGCCTAAATAAATAACTAACATTTTTGTTAAACTCATCTGGGCATCCAGTTGTCCTGCATGACAAGTGAGGCATACAGAATCTCTTCTGATGTCTTCTAAGCGTGGGGTAGAGGGAACGAGCAGAGCATTTCATCTGTGCAGTCTCTCTGCAGCTTATAAAATTGAATGCATAATATCAGGCTAAATGAGTTGGACTCAGGTATCTGAGGAAGAATTGTAGAAAGAATTTGTAGGAAGAATTGTTCCATAGATTTGCAGGGTTTTGCAGTCAGAATAGCTGGAGAAGAATAGGTTTGGTTGGGTTAGAAGCTAGATTCAGATTTTATGTGAAAGTTGAGGCCAGGGAGCACGTTTCTGTGCATAAGAGCAGCATTTTTTCTGTCTGATAGGCCAGCAGTGCACACTTGTAGTCTTTTTCCTTCCTTCTTGCTGTGTCTTGTCATCCTCCTCCCATCCTGCTTCTGCTGCATAGAGGACACCACATTGCTTGGAAGAGTTCTGGCCCAGCAGCCCTATTCCTGTGTCAGGGAAATGAGGTTTTCTGCTCTTGGCTTTGTAAGTGTGTGTGTATGTGTGTGTGTGTCCCTGGACCCTCCCCAGACTGTACAGATGGACCAGTGGTAGAGGATATGGGAGCGACAGCATGTCCAGCACAAGCAATTGTGCCAGAAAAAGCAGAAGCTGAATTTTCAGCAGCTGCAGCTGCTTTAGGACTAGAAACAGATTCTTTGGGGTCAACCTCTGAAGAAATCCCTCTGGTTTCAATCTGGCTGCATTCATTTGAAATACCAAGGCCTTTTGAAACTTCACCTCTAACTGATGTTCCCCATATATTCATTTGTATGCAAAAGTAGATTACCTAGGAGGCAAATATCCCTCTTGTGGGATTTTAATACTATCCACCTGATTGAGTTTCAGGTGAGAGGCATAATTATGTCTGTGAAATAAGTTGTACAGTTGTCCAGTTCAGTAAAAAATGAGACAGTGGGAATAATCTTTTATAGCCCTGAAGGTCTGAGTGTAGTGTTCTGGTCTCTATAATCATCAGATTTTTCTTGTTCAAATTCTGTTTCTGAACTTGCAGAAATTCTCATCTCTGAGAATTTCTTGTTTTAAGGACTTTATACTTCAATGGACAACTGGCCAGAATAACTTCTGTCTGCAGAATCTGTCTTAATGACCTTAGGAGCATGTCTCATTTGAAACACACTCTTCTTGATCTTCTGTTTTTTGCATTCCCTAGGAAATCTTCAGACATACTGATGTTCTTCCCACCTCCTGCCTGTTCACTTATTAGACTATAGATGATGTGGTAGCAGAGCGAAGGGTAACCCAGCACTGATAGGAACAGAATTCAGAGCTGTTGTTAAGCAAAGACTTGTTTATTTCCTGACATACTGGTGTAGTTATTCCATTTACAGCCTGCTCCTCCCTTCCACATTTCTCCAGCCCTTTGCCTTCCCATTAAATGTGCCAATGAAGCAATTCAATGTGCATCGAGAAAACTGGGTGCATAGTGCTACTAAATGTACATATATATGTGGAAAGTTGTTTTTGGCAGGTTTTTGACTGCACCAGTTTCCTCTGTCCTTTAGCTTTATGACCCTGCAGGGTTAAACTGGTCAAAAGATGTCATCTGAAGGATGCTGGGAAGTGGCCATTAAACAGAATATTTCTTATTCATGTTGCACAGTTCAACTATTGTCCTTCTTTCTTACAGGAAGGACTTGAATTGCAGAATTTAGCTTAGCACAGTTAGGTATTTTTTTCCAGTTTGTGTGAGCCAGATGGAAGAGTGGCTGTAGGAGGAGTTCTGAGCTCTTCTTTTCTGGCTATTTTTATTGAACAAAACAACTGACTTGTTGTCATATTTTTTTAGAATTGTTTAAGTCTGCTAATGGAACTGCTCTGCACAGTACCCCAAGTGATAATGACTGAGAATTTCACAGGTCCCTAGAAGATAAGAACACACATTCTGCTTGATTCAGTCAGTGGCTAGAAGTGAAGAGTAAATTGCTTCACAGCTACAACGTGTGATTTCAATATATTATTCAAAGCTTAGTGTGATAAGGTCAGATCTTGGATTTGAACTGCAGCTCCTGGAGTAAGAGTTTTATTCCAACATAGCTCTCTAAAAGATTCTGCTAACAAAACTATGTCTCTGTGATAAGAGACCTCCACACATGCAATGAATATTGAGATATCTTTTTTATATCCTTGGAGTATTATTCATGTCAAGCTCTCACTTCGAAAATATAGATGCAGTCAAGCTCAAAAATGCTCCAGAGAGAGACCTGTGATTGAAACCTCTTTAAAAGCAGATCAGTGTCAGTGCCATGATGGTGCCATCTTTCCTCACTGGTGTGACTGATCCACAAGTGAGACAGATCTTTCCTAATGGCTTTTCAGTCTTTGTCTACCCTCTGATTGCCAGGAAAGGACTGTAGGAGTTTCAGTATGTAGGTTTTGTGATGGGGTGGAAGAAGACTGAGACTCACCAAGCTCATTTGTGACTAAAGATTTGGCTGTGCTTTTCAGTTTGGCCACAGAGTTTGGGGGTAAAACATTTGCAATAGGTCTGGATGATTTAAAGCCTAGCATGTGGGTACAAGATCTTCAAATAGAAGGATGATGTATCTTGGACTTGTGTTTATGGCAGTTTAAAGGATGGGCTGAGGAGGTTTCATACTTTCAGACCTGCATGAAGTGAATTGGGCAGCTATGTTCAGTTCTTGCTGACCTGTTTCAAGTCCTTCCCTGACCAGACAGCCTCACAGCACTCTTTTTACAGACAAGGATTGTTCTACCTCTGTAGGAGAGTCTGCAAGTTGTGCTGGATCATTTATGAGACCCCTCATTTTATGGCATGGTGGTAATTTCTCCAGGGAGCTGCATGAAAGTGCCAGACACCTTTCAGTGTAGAACAGAGGGCAAGGAGCAAAATTGCTGTGCTTTATGTGCAGAGCTGGCCAGGCCCTGAAGAGAGATGCTTTTCTAGCAATGGCCTCCTGCCATCTACTAATAGTTTAGCTATCTGTTGTCACAAGAAAAGCATCTGTTTGATTTACCAGTTTATGTAACATAATAAGACCTTAAATAAACCTCCGTCAAGTTGGCTCTGGGAACTGAAGCAGGCGTGTGTGTGCCAGCTCCGTCAGGAGACTGTCATTAGTCTTCTTTGGAAAGGCTGGAATGCCAAGGTGTCGAGACACAGTAAGGCTGCGCTGAAAAATGAAAGCTGGGGCTGGTGTGTGGTCGTAGCTTCCGATTTTGTTTTGTTCCTGTCTGATTTTTTAATGTTTTGATGGTTGTTATGGTTTTTCTGCATTGAAGCGTGGTGAGTTTTCAATGTCTGCTTAACAAGAGCTGGTAATAGCTGTTGTTTCTCTGCTTCCAAGCTCTTGACAATTTGATTTCTGACTTTCAAAGTAGTTTGGTGTGAAGGGTTTGGGTTCATCAGCCACAGTCCTGGGCCTTAAATCCCTTTTCCTATAAACCCTGATTTCATATTTTTCTTCAAGAAAAAAGTATTTTTCATCTTTCTCTAAGTATTTTCTTTTTCTAAGTGTTTATCTTTCCCTCAGTATTCTCTAAGTATTATCTTTCTCTAAGTATTTTTAGTCTTCCCCCTGCCAAACTTTTCAACTCAAAATCCCACAGGGAGCTCAGGCATTTTAAGTGACACACTCCAAATGTACTAATATGATTCTCTCACTGGCCTCCCCACAGGGTGAGGAAAGCCATAATGATAGAGATTATGGTTCCTCAGCTTCCCTTAAGGAACTTTTGAAATGGTTTAGCACATGTGATGCTTTTCTCCAGCTCCACTTCATAGCGGAGAGCACTGCAAAGCAGGTCTGGTGAAGATAGCTCCTAAAGTTTAGGTCTCAGTGCTTATTGAAATGGATTCAAACCATTAATTTAGTTATAAAATACTTTTCCTCCCAGACTTGTTTTTCTGTCATGAGGAATCTCATTTACAAAATCTTCTGACACAAAGTGTCATCACGAAGATGGTGAGCTTCAAGGGTTTGTGTTCTGTTTAATGCAGCCCCGTGGATCCCTGGCTGATTTGTGCATGCCAGTGACATATGTGATGTCATGTCTGAAGGGGGCCTACAGGAAAGCTGGGGAAGGACTTTTCATAAGGGCACTTAATGACAGAACAAGGGGAAATGGGTTTAAGCTGAAAGAGGGGAGGTTTAGATTAGATATTAGGACAAGTTCTTCACTGTGAGGGTGGTCAGACACTGGAACAGGTTGCCCAAGGAAGTTGTAGATGCCCCCTCCCTGGAAGTGTTGAAGGCCAGGTTGGATGAGGCTTTGAGCAACCTGGTCTAGTGGAAGGTGTCCCTGCTGATGGCAGGGGGGTTGGAACTAGATGATCTTTAAGGTCCCTTCCAATCCAAACCAGTCTGTGATTCTATGATTCTATGTGAGATCTGGGGAGACTGGATGAGACGTGAGGGAGTAACGGAGACCAAATTAAGTCTCTTGAACCTCTCTGTGGTGGATTCAAATCATAAAATAGCAAACCTGACTGTAATAACGTTTAGCTGAAGCCAATTCACCTACCTGTTACCTGGCAAATCCTCACATTTTGTTTCTTCTTCCTTATCAAATCTGTCATTCTCTATTTAGTCCTGCTTCTTTCTTGTCTTTTTTATTCCAGTGAAGAAGAAAAAAACCGAGGACCTGAGAATTTCTGAGTATGCATGATGAGTTCTGTGTCCCCAGGCAGCATCCCCACATATCTCCTTCTCCCACTTTTGATGCTACTGTTGCATCACAGGGTGTCTGCTCCTTTTTGTTACAGTTCTCTTGTGAAAATAAGAGGTTCTGTTTTAAACCACTTGCTGAAAGAGTCTGACATCACAGAGTGAGGCAGTGCTCTTACATTCTAAATTTTAAGTCTATTAAATTGGACTGTAGGATATGGAGCCGATTCACATAATTGCTTGTAATCTTGCAGGAGCAATCAATGCTGCTATCAGTGTTGTCATCGTGCAGACAGCACAGCAGTTTGAAAAAAAAAAACCCCAAAAAAACCACAACCCAAACCTCAACACCCATAATATGTGAGTCATGCATCAGTGCTTTTTCCTAGCCTGAAGTCTGGAGGCACAGGATACATTTCACTTCTCTTCTGTTTTTCTTTCTAGGACAGATTTCTGCGTACACAAAGACGAGCCTTGTGACACTGTGGGTAAGTCAAAGAAACAGGGGAGAGTGTTTTGATAGCCAACTCTATGCTAAGAGGTGCTTTCTGGGCAATTTTTCATTCTTTGGTTTACTGTAGTGTTGCTTTTGCTATTCTGTATACCTCTGTGATGCAAATATGGATTAGTTAAGCAGGGTATGAACTATAAATAAGCCATTAAATATTAACCCCTTCTAAGCACTGGAGATCTCTGAGTAAGTAATCTGAAGTATTTCTATTTCTTTGGAGTGGATGTAGAATTAGATAATGGGAGATGAGGAAACTGTCTTTTGGTATGTCTGTATCACGCTCCTTTCAGTGCTCTCTCACTGAAACCAAGAATTTGCTAACTAATGAATGTATTTTGCATTGTAAGAACTTGTGTAACACTCCCAGATCAAACTGGCACTCAGACACCGGAGAAGAATACCTCATTGTAGGAAAGCCAAGTTAAATCTTCTTTTCTGCCTCTTACTCCTCCTATTTCCTAACTGCCTTTAATCTTATCCAAACCCTGGATACACAGGATCCTTACATTCTCCATGTTAAATACTGATTTATTTATTTAACTTGGGTAGCAGTAGCCTTCACTGTATCTGTATCACCACACTAGCAGCAGTGTTTGGAGGCATAGCTCAACATGCTCTCTGTGATGACTGCATGAATTTTTTTAGACCTCCCTCGAAATCAAGCGACCCCTTATCCTACATTTTTTGTAAACTTGACATGCATCCTGTTTTTCAGCAGATCTTACACTCCAGTGTTCAGAGAGATGCTCGCAGAGTGGGGGTTGCTATGCTGACAGTAGTGGGTGATGAAGAGCAAAGGTGCCTTCTACTTGAAGGCTACTGCTACCCAAGTTAAATAAATAAATCAGTATTTAACGTGGAGAATGTAAGGATCCTGTGTATCCAGGGTTTGGATAAGATTAAAGGCAGTTAGGAAATAGGAGGAGTAAGAGGCAGAAAAGAAGATTTAACTTGGTGCCTTCAGCATGAGCTCTGAGACTACCCACAGAAGTCTCATCTCAGAATGCAGGTCTTTCCCTCTCTGTCTTGTGGAGACTGATCAGATGAAAGGAGGAAATAGCTGAAAATACATATATTTTATTTTCAAACAAGAGCAAGGACTAGTTTCTACATCCAAGTTTTCTTTCCAGTGGGAATCCTCACAATGTGTTTATTCTGTGTCTGATGGAAACATGCTTCCACCGAGGAAGGCTCTGTGTAGTGACACATAGTGACTAAGGTCCCAGCTCTCTCCATTTTTAAAGACAGGATTGTTGAAGATCTCTATTCAGGGAATGATATTGCCATAGACAGCATGACTAAGGAAATACTTTTATGACTTCTTTTCTGTTCTTACAATACCCAAGTGCTCTCTTGTGCTGCAGCTTGCTGCAGGCTGTGGCTCCAGTGGAGAAGGTGGAAGATCAGAGGAATAAAGATTAAACTCATCTGTTACTCTTTCCAGCATAGTTTTTCCAAGATATTTAGAAGTTGAATGTTCCTGGGACAAAACCAGTGTGACCTCTTTCATTCTTCAATCCTACTTTTCCTTCATTCTCCCCTGACAGTTCCATTATGTCAGTTCCAGTGGCAGCAAAGCACTAGCATCTTCGTTTATGCATTTTCTATGCCCCACTGTTTCTGTTGTCTGAACCCAGAGGCAGTTTATCTCTGAAATCCTCCATCATATGATACAGTCTTTTCTTAAATACTGTTGAAATAAGTAAATATTTTGATAACAACAGTTTTTCAAGCATTATTGCCTGTACTCAAATTGGTGAGTTACTGTAGTTGTCTCAGATCATTACAAATTTAGGCCTTTATCTGTGTTGTGTGTCCTGGCAGCATATTTTGAATGTTTTCTTCAAAACCGTAAAACAAGGAACTATTCTGATAGGGCTGCAATCTGAATGAAGTCCACCTAAACTACACCACACTGATATCTCATCTGTCCCTGCCTTGAGAAATACTTCTTATGCTTAGTGGCTGAAGGTAGACCCTGAAGAAGAACCAATTCCTCTGGTCATCAGGTTGCAATGGTGCAATATGAAGTTGGAGAATGCTGGATTTTGATGGATTGCTATCCATAAAACAGATATTTAATGTTTCTGAGTCCTTATGCATGTCCTAAACCCATAGGACAGTATCTGATAATTATGATCGCTGTGTCTGATGCCCTGAATATATAAAATATTTGTGATTTACAGAGATCATTGTCTCTGCCTTCCGTGCATGGATAGAGCACTGTATTCCCCTTTCTCTGACAAAGGCATTGTGTTGCTGATATAACTAAGTGATTTTTCTTTACTGGTGAAAGTTAGCCCATATATAATCCATTCATATTACACATTAGACCAGAAGGGCATTTGGCCTTGTTGTGTCATTTGCATATGTGTTGCAGCAGGGGAAAATTAAATTAAGGAATGTACTTCTGTGGGATGCCACTGGTTTGAAAAAGTGATTAGTGTTAGTGCTACTAAATTTTAACTGTGTGAAAGATTCTCCAGTTTTCCTCTTTTGTCAGAATAGGGAAAAATAGGTCAGTCATAGAGAAACAGGTTTTAATAGCCACCATTCTGTGCCCTGGATATATGTGTGTGTGTGTGTGTGTATATATATATGGGTTATATACATAGCAACATTGCATGGCACTTACTTGGGCTTAATATGAGTGCAACAATCGAAGTAGGCTAATGCCCCTTGATATACCATACTGGTTTCTAAAGAATTATGTTGATGTTTCAGCTGTATCTATTGTTGCCAGATTCCTATTCCTCATTCCAGCTCCCAGATAGTCCCCCCCAAATCATCAAGACTTCCTGCAAAAAAGCAAGAAGCTAGTTCAAAGAGTGACATCACATTTGGTCTTGATGGTGATGCTGAGGTTATCAGAGTTCTCTCTAACAGCAACTTACTTTTATTTCTTGCCTTATACTTTGCTTTTATATATGAAGAACATGGTCTCAGCAGCTGCATATGTGTTTTTATACCTGCTTATGGAGGAAGTTGTCCATTGCAATGTGGGACACTGCCATCCTGTAAAGGAAGAAACATCTTTCTGGTGAGCAGGCACTCACCTAAACTAGGAGACTGAGGCTACTGTGCTATATAAGGCAGAGAATCTGGACTCTAGACTCCTGATTTCTATTCCCAGCTCTGGCATTGACTCATTGTGTGACATTTGGCAAGGCAATTACATTCAGAATGCTTCTGTCTACCTCTATGAAATGAGGATTTTAAGTGCAAAGCTACAGGAGATTGCATGGCATAAGAAGGTCTCATACAAAGCAGTGTGGTGTCCTTGAGTGTATGATGCAATACAAGTCCATAATGTAATGTTGCTTAGTCATGTTTCAGAGACTATAAAGAATCTGTTAGATTATGTGTACTGAAATAAGAGGACTCAGAGTGCTGTAGGTAATGTTTTTTTTTAGTGACAGTGCTTTGATTTTCTTTACACTGTGAGAAATATGGAAGCACAACTTTCCCTGGTGGAAGTATTGAGGCCCAATTGCTGTTCGGAAGTGGGATTGTGAAGTTTAAATGTCTTATAAGGGGTGTTCATTTGTGCTCAAAAAAGATCCATATTGAAAAACCTGTCTGGAATCTTTGCCTGCCATGCAGACACAGAGAGAAAACAGCAGCAGGAGGTTTGTATTTGTATTCTGGCAGGGGCCCCTCACTGAAACCAGTTGCTCTGGGGACTTTGTTCAAATTTTCTTGGCCCAGCTGCCAAGGTAGTGTGGAAGGTTACATAATAGCTGAAACAAGCTCAAAAATGGTGAAAATATGTAGGTATGTCTTTGTGGGGTGATACCCCACTGGCTGCAACAAGAAACAGAACCACATTTCTTTAAGAAATAGTTTGTTAATGCTCATTGCTCGGCTTGGTTGTGTAATTTAGCCCTAAGAACAAAAAGAATTTGAAAGGAGGTGGACAGAAGAAAAACAATCTGCCTGTGTGCAATACATTTGCAACACTTGTGTTTCAGCAGCCTCAGTTGTGGGACCTCTGATACGCTCTGCAATTTGAGCAGGGAAGGTTGGGTTTGTGAGACACAGCCTTGTCACACACCAATCAAAAAGTTTACAGTCTGCTGCTGCTGCTGCTTCAGCCTCATCTCTCGTGATGTGACTCTGACCAGATCTGCCGTTTCCTGCAGAAAAATCTTTGTTCCAATTGAGCTGCCTCTAAGCCAGCCAAATTGAGAGTTTAATGTCTAGCTATTAATATCAGGCTGCAGCTTGGAGCCTTGCACGTTGTCAGAATCCAACCTTTCTGTGACATAAGCAGATTGAGAATGCCCCTTTCGTTCAATATTTCCACTGTTAGTGCCAAATAAGCAGCTTTACGGTTAGTTAGGAATGATCCTGCATATTTCAAGGCAAAGCCTGGCCTCGATTCCTCAGTGTACATGTTACCCCAGATCCAAGCTGAAGCTTCCCTGTATTCAGCTAATAATAAAAGTGGGGGCAGTGTGGAATTGGGAAATGGAAAATGAGAATGTGTCTTAAATATCCTTAAATTGCCCTGGTTAAAAATGTCTTTACCTCTGCTGCAGTCACATGTGCTTTTCTGTGGCTTGATGTCGGGGAAGAGAAAGCAGAGTACAGTGTATGTACTGCAGATGGGCAGGTTTAGTTGAAGGAATAGCTGCCTGGAGAAAACTGAGCATCAGAGCAGAGGTGATTGAGAAACATCGTTTTCCAGACTGTTTCCACAAGTGAATCAATGTTTTGTGAAAAACATTCCCATCTCCTGGCTGGCTTTAATTAAAGAGCTCAAAGATAACTTAGTGAGAATCCTGAAGATTATAAATCCTGCTATAATTTGTGTCCTTTTTCTTGAGTCTTCCAAACACTGATATGTCAATGGGGAAATCGGGTTTGGGGTTTGCCACTGTGCTGGTGGGTGACTCACAGATGACATCCTTCTGCTGTACCTGTGTGTTCAGATCTTAGTCCTTTCCTTCTTTGACAAGTGTGTAGAGAGGGTGG